AAATAGATAAGTACTCTTTGATCATTCCCATATTGATTTCAATTTAAGAGCCACCGGTATACAGCTGTTTCAGCCTATTGGGCATCGTCAGTACCGGGCAGGCGGTCCTCGATTGAAGACAAAATGAGAAAAAACCAAGAAAGTACTTGATAAAAATAGCTGCGTAAACGCAAGCGAAACCATAATGGAACCACCTATTGGTGTGACACCCAAGTCAACTTGCCAAGTTTTTATGTCAGTGTTGGTGGTTTGACCAATCAAACCGACAACTGCGGTAGCAGAAATTTGGGAAGCTAACCTGAAATGCCATCGGAAAACGAATCCACATGTTTCTAGATATGATATGAAATATATATGCAAACACAACAGTTAAGGTCTGGCTTGGCGTCACTTTCAATACATCATATTTCACTCTGTTTAACACATTCATTCAACAGACTGTAATATACCTGATAATATTTTGTTTTGTTGTTTCAGTGTTAACGAATAAAATATAATAGGTTACATTCCAGTTTGAATGAAATGTTGAAAAACAATGCACAAAAACTGTTTTGTTTCTTATTTTTGAAATACTTACCACATCAGCATTGTTGTTATTGTTCACTGCTTGAGACTTCTCGGACCGAAAACACGGAACATTGGCTTTCTGGCATCTTTGTTTTAGAGCAAGAAAGGATGGAAACATTATGAGCAGAGCAGTTCCTTGGAACACAATCATGATAGCGCACTGGAGGCAAAACACACGTAATGCGGGTATCGGTAAAAGTGCGGCAATTACAAATGAACCAGAATTAATAAGTGCTGATGAAATAATACTGGGCCCCGTTCTTTGTAACACTTCTGATGGTGAAAGGTTTCTTCCATGTGTCGATAAAATGAGAAACATTTCTCTCATAGTCAGTCCTACAGTTATAAACGGTAACACATGAGTACTTAAAAGGTTCATTGGCAAACCGACGAGGCTACAAACACCTAACGCAGCTGTTGCGGAACTTGCTAAGACTAGAACACCCAAAGTTGCGATTCCCGAATGGGCTATCCACCCATACACACATGTCGAACCCAACACTATACCTAATTTTACTAAGTCCGATCGTGAATATTCCTTGAGAATTTTGTTTACATTTGCTGTTGAGAAGGTATAAAAGATATATGATGACGATGCACTTTTGCCCTTTGACAACCGCTCCACTTCCTGAAACAAAAAATATCTCAAATTGTATATGAAAATTTTTGGTTTTAATTTACAAATATACTTTGCAAGTGAACTCTCTGATTTCTATACTGTGTAATTTACTGTGTAAATAAATCAGAGTCCACTTGTAAAAGATGGATCAATATTACCCAGCTTCAGAATTTTCCATTTTATTTTCAAAATCTCAACAAAAAAGAACTATTTCAGCAAATTATAGGTCTAATTATGATCATGGTAAATTAAACTTTTTGACCCTTTTGAAAATTGTAATTTGGGTGGTATTTCAATATGTAATGAAGTAAATGGAAACAAAGAAATTATATGGATCTCTTGTTACCTCGATAGTGAAATCCAAATATAAATCAAATGAATTTAAATTTGATAAACAGTTTCACACAAAGTTCTTCATAGACATAATAGCAAAAATAATAAATTGAAATAAATAACACAAATTACTAGTTCAAGGTGAATCTTCAAACTTGCTAGCCGAAAATATACAGCCTTGGAAAGAAATAAGACAACAAACCAAATCTTCATCAAGTACCAGTAACTGATGAAGCTACCATGTGGGGAATCGTGTTCTTAATGAAATTCATTGTGAAAATTCTATGATTATTATCACGGATAGTGTTATGAATTTTCATCAAGTAATGAGTCAGAATATTCATAATAGTATATAACAAGCTAAAGATCAAGTGTTACCTTTGATACAAATTTCGAGTTCAATGAACATCTATTAATTATTACTGTGAAAGCATATAAGGATTCTATGTTTTGTCATGCAGAATTCAAAAAACTTAAAAATATAATGCACTTATAGGCAAGTTGAATATGGAATTCATTGACAGATTTCGCTATTGATCTCACTGAAAAATTTAAAAAAAATAAATTTCTTCTGCCATGCATGAATAACAGTCGTAGCTTTTTCTTTACTCCAACCTGTATGCTGAACTTTAAAATGACCAGACCAAAATTCATACAGCTCGTGCTCGCCCATTAATTGTACAACAGTTTGCAATGCTTTGGCTTCTTCAATATGACCAGATTTATTTTTCTGCATGCCACCGACTATCAAATCTTCAGGCCAATGCATATATTTTGGTGCAAAACCGTAGCATCCGCTGGTTAACTCTGCTCCAATGTCCAGTGTATGCGTTTGATTTTTATTAGGGGCGGTATCTGGACATTCTGGATCTTGCGGATTCAGACACGGTTTCTCCTGGTAACCTGTGGTAATTCCTGCTCGTTTAAAATAGTCTTCCAAAGAATGGTAATCAAAGTGGGACTCTTTCCGTTTTATTTGGGAAACCAACTCGATGGGATTCAAATTTGTCCATTTTATTGGGTTTCCACTTATATAACTGAAATAATTAAATCATGTAAAATAATTTTTGATCATTTGTTTAGTGTTTTTGTATACAAATATTCGGATTTACTTGAATACATTTTTGTTTATCAATTCATCTGCTGAAGCTTTGGGTTTTATGATTTTGTTACTTTACCCTCAACTCTGACTATTTACTGGAAATATCAAATTTGTTAATCTCTGTAAATAATAGAAATCCAAACCTGTCATTCAACATGAAATATTGTTAACCGTAAGCAGAAGATGGAATGAAACTAAAATTTAGAGAGCTTATTCAAGTAACACTTTATTGCGTTTTCATAATCTATAGAGTAGAAAATGCTCAAGAAAGCTATTATCTAGTGAAACACGTTTTCGCCTATGTAAACCGTCGAGTGAAAATCTCACAATGAAGTGTTGTTTGAATACGTTATGAATTATCATGAAGTATCGGCCAATTCCATCACATATTTAGGTAACTGTTCTACTAACTGGTAATAATGCTGACAAAATTTCTCAGAACACATATATCTGAAATATATCAATTTCACTTTTTTTCTGGGATCCCCAATCTCAGGTTTGTGGGACACTACAGCCTTAAAAGACTATCGTATTGACTTTAATTTGCGTCATAATCATCTCCCTAACTGGGTACATGTCACCCCACATTCATGGGATCAGAAAACTATAGAAAAACCCACAGCATCACCCACATTTCTTTGTGGCCATGACCCTTATTAAGCTAGAAAAGCAACTTTACAATTTTGAATTTATTTTCAGACCATACTTTTATACCAATTTTACACTTTATTGCCAAATGTTTTGCTTTACATTAAACTGCATCAAGCTGGCAGAACCCAAAGAAAAATATTTTTCCCTCTATTACCAATTTTAAAAATTTTAAGGAAATGTGCAAACAATTTTTTGACAAGACTCCAGTCAACAATAACAACATCAATAATGACAAATGTTTGAAATTTTTGCCAAATTGACTTAGGAATAAAATCATTCGACTCTTTTCTTTCCACTAAAGTATTTTTCATTCTGGTAGAATTGTGAAAACTCCTAGTAAATTGTCAGATTTCGTCAGTTTACAAGATATTCATTGTCTGACCAAGTGTTTTTAAAAAATAATAATCCAGCAGTACAAATTGTTGAAGAAATAATTTTTACTCACTTCATCAAAGAGTAGGTAATAGGTAGGTAAGACTAAGTATATTAGGTAAGTACTTACAAAAATTTCTCTAGATTATAATAATTTTATTTACTTAGTCTCCAAAATAACTGTTACAAGAGGATAAATTAAGTTACAGATAGAGCAAGTTATTATTGTCGTTTTTGCGACAGATGTATACAGTTTTACTGTTACTATGATTTTATGTTGTCAACTGAAAATTATACAAATGTAGGTATTTTAAGTTAAATTTAGGATAGACAAGAATCAACAGACATCAAAATTGTATTGCTTCAAAATATTTTCCCCTGTGGAAAAAGTAAGGATGAATGAAATATAGAATTGAAAAAGGATTTTCAAAACTTTACTAATGATTTTAGTATAGTCGAAGTAAATGATATTGTGCACATTTAAAGTGGCGGCACTCTCAAAGGTCAAACAAACCAATATATAGAAAGCCAAGACTGTAGACTTGGAGGTTCGTATTGGATAATTTTTACTAACTGAGTTTTATGATTGGCTGAAGAGTCATAAAATTAAATTTGAAGTCATGTTATGGTGACGAATAGAAATCGGGAAATGCGGGGATGGTTATCGCCGTCTTGTTCAGTTCAGGAACTGATCGGGATTTGAGTGTTGAAATTCGATATTGGTGCAGTTAGGTATAATTACTTAAAATTTTTGTTATCTGTTTAAAATGTGGCGTCCATGGACAAGTACTAATAGTAATTACGAGTGTGATAATAACGCAGACTTTTTCCAGTGTAGTGATTCCAATAGCGATGGTGAACAAAGCGAAAAAGAGATACCAGTGAATAAGATTCGGATGCATTTGAACATTGAAACACAAAGAGTATATTTCAATGTATATAAGAATCTACATCTAAAGTTTGGTTACAAGCAACATCAGATTTGACCGAAATTTCTTTCTCAACTGTACGTAAAATAGTCAAAAACAAACCTTATGAACGCAAGACGCGATGTGTTCATGTAATAAAATCATTGAAATAAAAAAAAAGACTGTTACAAAAGCAATGAGATTCCTACAACTAAAATCATAAGAAAGAAATTGAATACTTCCGGCCATAACGTGAGCTGCCGTGGCAAAACTCTTCGGAATTGGATAAAGAAACTAGGATTTAGATTTAAAATAATAAACAAACGTCAAGCAATTATGGAAAGCAGAAGAATAGTAGAATTGCGTAACAAATACTTAGAACAAATAACTAAATATAGACAAGAACAACGGCAAATTTTCTATTTGGGCGAAACTTGGTATGACACTCACGATACATACGAAAGGGTGGACTGATGGTTCGAGAATGTGTACGCCTAACATGCCTTCAAACAAAAAATCGCGATTAATCTTTGTGCATTGCGTAGGATGTAAAGGATGGGTTCCGAATTCTTTGAAATTATGTGGAAACAAAACATGAGGACTGCAATGTTGACTATCATAAGAACAGAAAAGATAATATTTTCGAGAAATGGTTTGAAAACCCATTGATCCCAAATTTAGATTCGAATAGTGCAATAGTTCTTGACAACGCTTTCCATCATTTGCGACAGCTCATCAAAGTAACGAATGAAAATTCGAGAAAAGATGAAATACAAAGTTTTTTAATGGATAACAATTTGTATTTTGAAGATTACTATACCAAAAACCAACTACTTGAAGTTTTACAGACAAAAACATTTGAAAAAGTGTATGCCCTTGAGAGTATTGCTGTAAAGTATGGACACACCATACTGAGACTTCCCCCCTATTTCTGTATTTTCAATCCCATCCAGTTGATTTGGGGAAAATTCAAACAAAGCATAAGGTGTAAAAAATTATTTTCCAAAATTTGATAAGAAGGTAACGGAGCTAAATAAAGAAGAAGTTTCTAATATTACTGAAGAAGACTGGCAGAAAAAGATGAAACAGTAATTTTAGTTGAAAAAGACTATATGGAGATTGGACATATTGAAGGTGGAAATAAATTGATTATTGATTTAAATGACGACAGTGATAGTGAAACAGAGAATATGGAACAGGAATTATCGAAAGCTTTTGAAGAAAGTTACAAACTTATACCTACAAATTGCAACAATACCTTTATACTTTTGTTTGCAAATGGTCTAACATAAATTCCTGTCTAGTACCTACCTGCCTGATGGTTTTATCATTATGGTTAAAAACATCAATTTCGTTTCTCTGAAAACACTATAGAGAAGTATTGATGAAAAGAAGGGTTTTATTTGCATTTGAATGAAAACTGCAATACAAGCAAGTAGCTTATTGAATTTGTTCTTGTGTAAGATAACTTAAGCAATATGAATAACTTCTTTCTTAAAAAAAGTTAACCTACACTTTCTTTTCAAAAAGGAAGAAATAATAACTGCTCTGATTATGTTTTTTATTATCCCTCAACTCTTGAATTTGGTGAGACACTCGGTATCAAAGGAATCAAAAAAGTCTACCACATTGAAAACAAGTAGGTAATACTAAACCTGAAATTCTCTTTCATATTCTCACCACCAATGTTATTGAAACAAATGATTTTATTATGCCTCTTGGGTGGTCCTTTACTGGTGATATAACTCATTTTATGACATAATTCTAGGGAACAATGAAATATACTAACACGGGTTGGACGATAGCAAGTGAAAATCGATCGTTCAGCCTGGGGCTTGAACCATCGACCAACACGGCGGTCGATTAGAGTGAGTGAACAAAGCGTGTTCGGCGATTTTCTGATATCGAAAAAAATGGATAAAAAAATTGGCATCAAGTTTTGTGTGAAAAATGGAAGTGCTAAAAAACAAATGTTGACAGTGGCGTACGGTGATTGTACTCTTAGTCAGAACTGTTCAACTGTTCTATCATACTACATCTAAAAATGTGTTGAATATTGTGAAGTTTCAGCTGTTTAGCTTGTTCAGTTTGTTGATGAGAGTCATAAAAGTTAGATGTGTTTTGCGTGTTCGGTGATTTTCTTCTTTAAAAAATAAATGGATCAAAGAATTTGTAGAAAATTTAGTAGGAAAAATGGAATTATCAAAAACACTTAAAATGTTGACAGTGGCATACGGTGCGTGTATTCCGAGTCAGAAAAATGTAGCAAGGTCGAGAAGATGTGAATGACGACGCTCGCCCTGGACGCCCCAGTACATCAACAACAGATGGAGAAAGTACTCAAAATAGTCATTGAGAATCATCGAATCACTATTAGAGAAGTTGCTGAGGATGTCGGCATATCGGTTGGCTCATGCCATGCAATTTTTTTTGTAAATTTTAAGCATGAAGCGTGTGGCAGCGAAGTTCGTTCCAAAATTGCTGAATTTTAACCAAAAAAACAGTCGTATGAATTGTTGAATGACGTCAACGGCGATCTAGATTTGCTTAAAAGGGTCACGATTGGTGAAAAATCATGGGAATGTGGTTATAACATCGAATCCAAAGACCAATCGTTCCAATGGAAGAGCCTAGGAGAGCCAAGACCAAAAAATGCAGGCCAAGTTCAATCAAATGCCAAGGTTTTGCTCACCGTTTTCTTCAATTACCGTGGGCATCAGTAATTCTTGTCACAAGATCGTGTGGTCAATAAAGAGTATTATCTTGAAGTTATGCGCCGCTTACTAGAAGCAATACGAAGAAAACGTCCGGTATTGTGCACCTGCTCATTCGTCATTGCTTGTTTGTAATTTTTGATCAAAAACAACAATGTTATCATTTCTCAGCCACCGTATTCACCAGATTTGGCCTCCTGCCTTTTTCCTGTTCCTGAGATTGAATAGGCCCTTGAAAGGACGGCGTTTTGCAACGATTGAGGAGATAAAAACCAAGTCGCTGAGAGAGCTCAAAGACATACCAAAAGTGCATATCAGAACTGCTTCGAGGATTGAAAAAAACGCAGACAAAAGTGTAACATATCTGAGGGGAACTGCTTTGAAGAGGACATAAAAGAAATTGATAAATAAATGAAAATTCACCTTATTTTTTGAACATACCTCGTATAGTGAAATCAGATGGCTGTGTAGTTTGCATAGAAGAGGCTATGTCAAGTAGGTAGAAGTTGAAAACGTACAAGAAACTCGAAACATGTGATTTTCATTCAGATAAATACTAGGGGCCAAATGTAGATGAAAAATTGGCGATATTACTTCATATTGAAGAAATAGGTTACCAAGCTACCACTAGAAGCGGTTATTTTTTGGATAAGAAATTGATTATCAGTTGGACTTTCAGTCTACTATTTTAAGCCTCTTAGGATGACAGTTAACAGAAAATGACCTTCTCTTACTTCGCACCATTAGTCTCCTGAAGGTTCAGGAGTTAATCCTTCACGGCCGGAGATAAGTGTCACAGCTATTTCTATACATACTGTTACATAATATTGCTATACAATGTATAGTTTCTTATTTTTCAGTTACCTAAGAAAATGATACAGTTGAGAATAGTAGCTTCAAACAGCACTTCATTCGTTACCTCATCACCTCTGATAATGTCTACTAAAGTTGTAGACAATTCATCAAGCATAAATATCCATAGACCATGGTCAACAAACATAGAATTTGGCTATTTTTTTGGAGATTACAGAAAAACATATATTTCAGTGATGCTATAGCCAGTTTTGTAGTTCCGAAGATATCAACCACTTGTATCGGCGAAACGTTGAGATACTTTCAAAACTAACAATGGTTAACCTTTCGTAAAACCAAAAATGCAAAAATATGATAGAACTGACAGATACTTGATGAAAATCCATTATAACTTTAATGTGAGATTTCTACTTGAAAGTTTACAAAACTACGACACATGTTTTGCTATACAATCGTATCTTATTGTGACGTCCGAAGATGCTATTACATAGCGAAACAGGTGTCGCGGTTATGTAAACTTTCGAGTGGAAATCTCACATCAAAATGTGTTTTTTCAAATCGCAAATGCAAAAACTAAAATTAGTTTTTCTTTAGTATTTCTTATAACTGCTGAAATTGCTGGAAATAGGTATTCGACTTTGCCATTCACTTTTTTGGACCAAAAAAAAGGTTTTATAATTTTCATTTTGATGTTGGAGATTTTTTTTAAATAGTTCTACAAAAAAAATTACAGGAAAGGAACGTCAACTGCAAACACAAAATTCAAATTGATATCTTTTATTTCATGAAACAATCAATAATAAATCCCAATAAATAGTTCATCAAATGTGAAATATCTCTCGTTTTTTAATATAAAGGATGGCCAAAGACAAAGAAAACCGATTCGTTATCAGAAACAGCAAAAATATTTTGGGAAAAAGTAAAGACTAATGTGTTTTTGATTGAGGGGCACACTCTTTTACTGTATTTTTGATGCCACCACTTTCGCATTGGAAGCCGAGTAAGATGCCTACATGTAACAATTGCCACGAACTGGATCTGGAATAGAGACACTGAATGACCTCTACAGTCACCGGATTTGCCCCCCTTGTTTTTTTGTGTTGTTACCTAAAAAGTGAAATATATGGGGCACAACTAGCATTTTTGGAAGATTTGCAGTAAAAAATTGTCGACGAATGCCGTCGGATGACTCGTATACGAGAACATTTTGAAGATTTAACCAAATAGGTAGTAAGTGAGCATCTAGCGAATTTAAACGAATTCGAATTTTCAAATATACTTTTTCAAAAAACTATTCGAGGGATTATTGAAATTCAAAGACTACTTGTAAAGATATATTTCGGTGGGTAGGTAGTCGGTTGGCTTGGCGTGAGTGTTTTGTTCCACTCATTCGATCGATCGTCAGGTGAAAAGGTGGTTCGAGCCGCGTAGTCGGACGATCGATTTTCACTGCCTATCGTCCAACCCGTGCTACGAATCGCACGTTAAACATGTTAAACCTTGTTAATTCTTAGCTCGCATTAGTTTCGACTTATGAAGGTAAACGTTCGTAGGAGGGAGGGGCAACAGCTGGTTAGCGAAAAAAATAGATTTTGAACAGTTGTTATCAAACAGGTGAGGTGATTATTACTCTCGCTTAGAGGTGGGGGTGGCTAAGTCAAAATTTTAGGAAAATAATGTTCCCCTTTATAAAAAATCGATGGGTTCTTGCGCTTTCTCAAAATGTTGACACAGCTTCTGAAATAGCTATGTTTAATTTTTGTTTGACAACCCATCATATTGAAATGTTTGATTTTTCATGAAAAATCTTGTAAAAACTACCTTATATTTTAAAGAATTAAACACTATGGGAAACATGATATGAATACTAAGGCAGAAAGTCAATATGATTCCAAAAAATCAATAAAATTGAATATAGACAGGTAAAACGAAAAAATAGATGAATTCAAAACAGAAACAATATGAAAAATATTTTCATTTTTCATATCCTAAGGACTTTCTGTCCTACAACCCACCTCGAACAATCGATTTCCGCAAACAGAACTGGAAAATATTGAAATACTTCAGGAAATGTTATTACCTACCTATATGTTGTAATTTTTGCGCCTATCCTCTTAAACTCACTAAAAAACTGTTCTCCAAGGGAGTTGTTTGAAAGAGAGCTTCAACTAATCATTCAAATGCTATTAACTGTAAGAAGAAATAAAAATACCAGACTGCTATGCTGTGGGTCGCCAGGTGTGCCTTAAGCTGTGACCACCCTAATTTTACCTAATGAAGGTTCTTTTCTATACCTGGCGGGTCGAAAGTGTTCCTTCCACATTACAAATTGACTACTCAGAATTTATTGAATATACTTTGACAGAGAACATATTATGGCCACAAAAAAATGTTCTTCAAATTCAATGAGTCCTACTCGTAGATGTTGGATGAGAGGTAATGAACTTTCAACATGAAATAATCTGTACTCACGGTATATTAACTGGATATTCGGGACCCAGTAATTTTGATCCTTCCCAGAAACAATCCAGTGGCGTTGCAATGGAGCACGGCATCATATTTTCGAACATCTGCTGGATGTAGTAGGCATCAAAATTTGGAATACTAGGAGATTGACAGAAGTCTTTTAGACGCCATGTGATATCAAACATCGTCACAGTAACCTGGGTCGCTTGTTGTACAAGGGCTAAGTGTTCAAGGAGGCCACGGGGGCGAAGAAGTTTCACATCTGGGTCGATACCTAAATGAAATTCACCATATTCTGATTTGTGTTTTCGTAAATATTTTTATGGCAATGGATTTCAGATAATTCTTTTGATTTAACGAGAGTACGGAGAAGATATTATAATTAGTCTGTTGCAACCTTTCAAGTCAGGTACCTATCTCAACAATGCTAGACAACGTTTATTTATTCTATGACCGAGACACTAGTTTTTTTCTGGTCTAAAAAATCGAATATGTGCTACATGTTCTTGAAAATGAGTTTCGATTATTCGTTTAAGTAGTCTGAGAAATAAACTTTTTGTCAGTTCCGACAGCAGTACATTGAGCTATGTTGGTTGTTTTGTGATGGCAACACTTATTTATATTAATATTGGTCTTAATAAACAACACAAAACAGAGATTCATTTTAAGATTATTCAAATTGAAGAAATAAAGTTCTTTTCTTTGAAAGTTTCAGATTGAAGTTTGAGGAGGAAGGATTTTTGTTTCTTTAAACTAAATAAGATTCAGTCATTGGTGGTTATTCGCTTGCGAGGATTTTATTAGATGGGTATATTTCGGCCGGGATTGATCCCATGTAAACAGATGTACAATTAATTCAACACGCTACAAATTATACGTTTAGAGAGACGTTGTAAAAACGGTTATTGCAAGACATTGTTTCATATGAGCTGATGCAGACGAGCGAATGCGAGCGTGTGTGACGCTCATCTGCGTTACCTCATAGGAAACTATCGCATACTTACTCTAAATCACCAAATCTACAACAAAAATCAACAAAGGACAGAACATAATTGAGAACTGTGTTGGAGCATTCGGCGACTCAAAACAATAACTAAACCACCACAGCCCGATAATCTTCAGTTTGAGAATATTAGAATAATGTTCAATTAAAAATACATGAAACGTGAAGAAAGCACTTTTCGGATGAAATGATGTAAACTTTTTAGAATTCCAAAATCGAGTTCTGAACCAAATCCACAGAGGGAACGACTTTCAGAATTTCGGAACTCATTTTTACATTTTCTATGGTTATCTACGAAGGCGTAGAATGGTCACAGAAGGAATTTGAAAAAGTTTTAATTAAGAATTTAACAAAATTCCAACTTCAAATTTGATAAAATTCCCAGTTTGAAATCGGAGTTTTTATCAAAAATCTCAAGATTGAATTCAATAAAATTATTTTTGAGAAATTTAGACTTCAATCTAAGAATATTGGTAAATATCGATTGGAACTCGAAATTTTATCAAAATCCGACTTAAAACCCAGAGTTGAGTGAATTTTAGTTTAAAGAAAATTTGTGGCCCTTCTACGCCTTCCTAGATATTTTATACGAGAGTCCATGTCATCTTCAGTATTCTCAGTAGAAATACCTTCAACCAATAACTTCCAACAAAACATATGAAAAGAAACAGGAAATATAATATATCTAACGAGCTAATGAAAATACCCGAGAACAGTGTTGCCACCTCTTTGGATGTTTTAGAAATTTCCTGGATACAGCCATCAAATTTTAAATGATTGTAAAATTCCCAAAACTGAAATGTGCCGAATGATAAAAAGAACATCAACTCAAAATTATGAGTCTGATGAATTACATATATCTAAGTAGGCAGAGAAAATTTGGAAAAAGTTGTTAGTTTTTGTATTAACAATATTGCAGAACGTAATAAAACTCACTTGTTTGCAATACCATCTGATGCGTGGAAAGTAATTCTGCAGGAGTAGACTGGGGTGTCGTCGACGGTTCGGCCCAAAGCAGTTCGATATCGGAATGAAAAGTCATGCTCTTCAGTCCCACGGAGAAGGTGGCGATGGCCAGTATGCTCACGAAGAGGACCTTCCCGGCATGAATGTCGAGAATGTTGCCTAGCGTGTGTAACTGTCTCTGAATCTGCCCCCGAACCCATAAAATTCCACGGTCGCCATGGGCCTTTCCCTGAAACAAATATTTGCACAAAATAAACTTTTATTTTTGATGAAAACATTTCCCACACACCAGAACTAGATGACTTTTTCCTGACGTGCGTTTCACTTACCAAGTAAGCATCATCAGGAGATAACTAAAACCAGATGATCATCTGCTAATAAGATACTAACTTGGTTAGTGAAATGAGTGTTGAAAAAAAGTGCTCTGGTTTTGGTTAGTGGGCAAAGAATTTTCGTTAAGTTCATTCTACGCCAGAGATTCCACGCAAAATAAAGTTGCTGAGAATCTTTCGCATTCATCACTTCACAATACCTCACAAGAAAATCAGCTATAACCATGTAGAAACCATTAGTGGTTGACAAAAAAACGTCAAAAACGGCACTACTTTTCTACAATACACTGGTATACTAAATTGAAAGGAGAATATTATCTTGAAAAGATCAATTTTTGAAAAAAAATCCACAAATTTTTTTTTATAAATATGGAGAAGTTAAAAGGCTAAGAGGTATTTCCCAAAACTTGTATACTATTCTATTTCAAATTCTAAGCTACTTAATGTAATCTTATAAAAAGTCAACTGAAAAATAAACATCCTTCAGACACGAAATTTATTTCCTGTTCCCATGAATTAGACAATTTACAAATTTCATTTCATTTTTCATTTCATTAATAGTGGTTAATCAGTTGAAGCGAGACTATTGATGGAACTTAATCAAGCCTTCACCATGTGGATGAACACATTGGTCTAAAAAAACATTCTAGTATATGTAGAGTAGCACCCCATTTTAGTACATGTAGAGTAGCACCGCAAAAGTGCCAGATTTTCCTACTAAAGATGAATAGTGGCATCACCGCGTACCATAACATTGCATGTAGACCACCCAAGCTTTGGCCTGACGTCATTCGGACCACCCAAGATCATGCGGATACCGCGTACTCGGTACTCGCGCCGAGCTGTCCGCCTCAATGCCCAGAACGGCGGTCCTTCGCAGAAGGACCACAGGCTGGGTAATATGCGTCGAAAGGGACTGACTGGTCACAGTTGGCCGTAGTTGCCCTTGTGTCCCCTAAATAAAGCTGTTATTGTTTATTTAGTTTGGTTCTTCTGAATTGGACCAAGACATAAGTATATGTTAGTTACATCAATTGAAAGTAACAATCATAAAACAGACTATTATATACATAGTATGTCCAAGAAGACCAATATAGGAAAATCAGAAATCATGAGAGATGCAAAGTCGGTTGAATTAAGAGAAAGTTGTCAATTTTAGAACCCTTTTCAATGATGTTTTAAAATTTGCTAATCAAACGATTATGTGATACATTAGTGAAATTGTCGCCAAAAAGGCTAACTTACACCGGATTTTTTTTTTTTTTTGGTAAAAAAAAATAAAAATCAAAATTGATGATTTCTCAAAGAAACTTCACGGTTAAAAGCCAATATATTCATAAATAATTAGGAAAAAAGAATACGAAATTGGCGAATTTCGGTTCTACTTGATATACTGTTAATCGAAATATCCTAAATTTTAAAACGTCATGGGCAATTCACGTTTTACGATTTTCCAAAGGTGGCCCTCCTTATCTTGAACATGGGGTATACCATTTTATATTGGTGGTACGTGGTAATTCATAACAAAATAGGTATATATTGGGTCATTACAAAGAAGACTGACTCTTTGTTATCTATCAGGCATTTTGTTGAATTATCTTTCTCTAGAAAGTAAGGCTAGAAAAAATGTGAAACAGAAAAAACAAATAATTTTGATGAAGTTAGATGAAAGACTCAAAGATGAACTTCTAATAATAGACACTGATGTACACTGTAGGCCAGATTTTATAGATAACAAAAAAAAAGAATATTAGTAGTCAAAATATATCTAATAAACATTCTCACAAAATTATATTAAGTCTAGTGGTCTGATGTAGTCCCATGTCGTATGTAAACCCTTCCGTGTCTTTCCTTACATTAGACCTTGAATAGCACTCCAACAATTGAATCGATAAATATTTTAGGATAGGGATGTTTCCATAAGAGTGTGTAATAAAGGCGATGTGCATTAAAGACGATGCGTTATATGAGAAGTTTAGATTCATTTTCCAATTTTTTTGCATTTTTTAAAATATCACTTTTCCATAATCTTTACGTTTTGGAAGCAAAAAACCAAAACTTTCCGAAAAGCCAATATGGAGAAATATGGGAATAATCCATAAATGTAAAAAAAACTCACTAGTTTCACTTTTTAAGTGTAAGCAAAATACAGGGTTGATTCCATAACAATCATTGTTTGTACTCAATTTTCTGAAACGAGTTGATGATTTTTTATTAATGAAAGCGCGATTTTTCGTCGAAATGTGCTACAAAAGTTTATTTTAACATTGTCGCAATGTAGTATGGAAGAGACCCAACTACTTTGGAACCACTTATTTGGAACACCCTAACAAATGTAAAAACTCTATAACACACATGAGGGGGAAAAATTCATACTTTATATCAGTTTCAGATAATACTATTATATAATTTCATATATGAAAATACTTCCGACAGTTTCTGCTAGTTTTCACCAAAGTACCTAGCTGCATAAAAAGAAAAGGCATTCAAATATACGACGCTCTGAAAAAATTAAAATTGCACATAGAAAACCCCAAAATCTAGGAAAATAAAGTTGTCGACATTTGCAAATCTAGGTGAATTTTCCTGACTGTAACTAAAATAACGGCAGAGTCCCAGATGAGGTGGAGACGACTATGACTGATTAGGGAAAACAGGGGCTGCGCTTTCAGTTCCGGAAATGAATTAAACGGCGATGAGTAGGGGTACGAGGCACATAGGCGCTGTCGGGGAAGTGCGGGCACAGGTAAGTTAAGCTGTTAAGCTAGCCGTGGACCACACACGAGGCCTACCCGGTGGTCCCACCAAGGCTAACGTAACACGGCAATCGCCCACCAGAGTCCCCAGACCGCGATCGGTCTGGCTCCAAAATCACCTATAACACCTGATTGAAAAAGCGATCGACTGACGTTTGCGGAAGTGCGTATAGTTTCTCCGCTGACAATCTGCATTTCCCATTCAAGAAGAAGTAACACATCTATCTCATATTTACTATGAATTACCTGATCCAGTTGGCCTATAGCGATATCTGCGTCGACCCAACCAGGTCTTGTGTAAAGATCTGACTCGTGCCTTTCTGTAGACTCCGTTGGCGACTCCGGTGGCGCCATGGAAGCCATCCTCGTCGGGCACACGATTCCGGCAGCCACACTCAGGCACAATCATCGGCAATCGTTACACTACACATTTGACGTTCTGATGACACCAACCACTTGCACTCTCGAGTGTTTCAGTGAGCCACTAGATTTAAACACCCAGGATATTTGAACTTTCTAAAGCAATTGTCAGTACTCAATACAGCACCCGAGTCGCGGTGGAATTGTATCATCTTTGATTTGTAAACAAACACTGTAAGAATTCATATATTTGGTTGTTCACTGCACTGTAAAGCACACATAGTTTGGTGCAATCGGGGCAAGATGCATCAGCAAGAACGTTACTGAACACGCATTGAAAGTAAACAAAATATTAGAAACACGTTGACTTCGTATAGCACAACACATACGTAACTGAATTCGCTTGGCATACTGAAAATAGGACGTACCTCACCGACTGACAGCCTCACTCGAGTGCGAGTGGTGTGCTGTGAGCGTGACAGCGTGAGCGAGTTGGTAGACCCGGGGCCTTTCATTCTAGGTACTTTGTTGCTGCTCTCTACGAGCGATCGACGTCGATGTTCTCCGAACTTGGACCACCCACAGTTGTGTTTAGAATGTAAATTCTCCAAATCACATAACTTATGTTTTTTGTCACCATAGCAGTATATGTCTTCTCGAGAATAGATTTCTTGATAAATTCTCCGTCATCTATCTCCCATGACCGTTTGCACCTATGTAATAAGTCTCTATTAATGCTTAAAAATTGGAAAATGATCATTACATTACAACCTTTATGAATTAGTATTCTAGAATCGTCAGAGCACATCCCAACTTTTTGCTTAACCAATTGGACCGCTGGTTGCTTTGGAGAAAATGAGAATCGGAAAATATTATTTTTAAATATTTTGTCGTCCTGTTAATTGTCTGTCGTGTCAAAATTCTGCCAACCGATTATCTGACGAACAAGGTAGATATTGGCTTGAAAATTCCCCTTATGGAGATGCAACCTTTTGAAAACGAGTAGAATGGGAAAATTAGAAAGCTATTTTTTCAAAAATTTCGAAATATGAAAAAATCACAATAGCTTCAATCAAAAATACTGAAGAAGAGTGTCACCCTTCAATAAAAGTCGACAAGTCTTTGCAATTTTCCAAAACTCTTGACGCAGTCTCTGATAACAGCTATTTCGTTTTCATTTGGTCACCCTGTGAAACATTTTTTGTTGATATCAAGGCATTGAACAGAAAACTTAATTGAATTATAAATTTTCCCTGATAGCTATAGTTCAGAAAATGTTCGTTAAAAGTGGAAAAAATCACATTTTTCTCGGCACGCGTTTCACCAACCAAGTTGACATTATCAGAAACTGAAATGTAGTACAGCTTATCAATTTCTGTGAGTGCAAGATAATGAGGACTATTTGTTCGCAGATGTTCGTGTTTATATTTGAGTTGCTAGTGGGCCTCTTAGCAACTGCAGTTACCATGCTATTTCCCTGTGGACTGATGTTAGGAAGACCCTGCTGACTGTCAGAAATAGTGGTTTTCGAGTAACTTCTGCAGGATGATGCCCTCGAATCAGCCACCACTCGGAGATCCGACATCATGCAATTCATCTTCATATTCCCACCCTTGAAACCGGAAACAGTGGCACAGCAACGAAACGTTGGCTCGAAAGTAACTTCACGCTGCCTAAAGGCCGAGACACACTTCTTCATACACCTCTCCGATCCGACTCCGGTTTGATTTTGCCCCAAAAGCGGATCATTGCAGGATCGCCAGTGGGTAATCACACTTGTCATACATGCTTCCGACTTCTTTCCGATTTACCACTGCGGCTTGATACACTTGCCACTCTCGCCAGTGTCGATTCAAACAATATCTAGGAAGGTATTCAAAGCAAAATGTTCAAGAATTTAAGCTACTGCGATTTAGCCATTAAGGCACTCTGTTTGGAAGAAGAAGATGAGGAAAATCGGAGAGCTCTCATAGAGAACAGCGGTACAGCTCTTAAGTCTGGTCATATATAACTGGATACTTTCTGACTTGTTCAATAAGCTCCTCCGGTTTTAATGACATTTTTTAAATTTAATTTGAAGAAAACATAAAAATTAAATATCATACAAACTCCAAGCGATACCCGTCCCGCAGCTGGAGAACAAAGACTGCACTATCGGATCATGATCGAATGCAGGATCGGACTTAAGTACCATTTCCCTCTCAGACACTCGTCCGACTGTATGATGGAAGTCGGATCTGAAGGGTGTATGACAGGTGTGTCCCGGCCTTAAGCGATGCCGGGTGGGACCAGCATCTACCATCTATGAAATGTCATTTGTTTTCAATAAAGCCTTTTGTTTCTTTCTGTCGAAAATTCCACTAACAATTCTATCTCTTATTAAACTGTCTCTCAAACTCCCAAATTCGCAAGTTGCAGCTCGCGTTTTCAATTTCAACAAGAAAGATTCAACCGGCTCCCCGTCATGTTGCGCAAATGCAAATAAATTGAATCTTTCAATAGTCAGGTTCTTTTTCGGTACACAATATTGTTCAAAGTTACTCAAGATCAAGTCAAAGTTAGTGTCGTTTTCCTTTTTCCTCATATTCAAATGTCTGTTTCACTTCTATAGCATCTTCTCCAATCAAATTCAGAAGTATATTGATCTTTTTTTATCTATTGAGCCATCCAAACCTCATGTAAATTTCAAAGCAACTTTTCCATTTTGACCATTCGGTGTCGACATTTCCTTTCAATTTCAATGATGGAAGCCTATTGAAACCTTCTGTCATATTGACTTTACTCAAATAATTTATTCAACTCAATCTCTACCTTTACTCTATTTTATTTTCAAATCGTACTTTTTGGTCTTTTACCGCTGCCACTATGTTATATATTTGATTTTATTTATTGAATATACAGGGTGTCCCGGTTCTTGACGATAAACCTTGAGGTGGTGATAGCTGAGGTCATGACTAGCTCATAATAGGAAAAAAGTTTAGGTAAAAGTGTTTTCGTTTTCGAGATATCGGAAATATTCTTTTTTTCGAAAATCGGCGACTCGGTTTAGTATTTTCAATGTTACGTCATAAAAACATGACTCATCCACAGCAAAAAAACTATTTTGTATAGCTAAATAATATCCGCACACGACAGTAATACCAAAAGCTTGCGATCATTGGAAATAACTGGAAAAAAAAA